AGACGGAAAGCGCTTCCAACGAAGTCTGCAGACGCACACGCGCAAGGTTACTTTCAATCTTGACAGTCGTTGTCAAACAATGTTAATTCTTTGCAGTGGTAAACGAAAATCCCATAAAAAATCTGTGATCCAGGAAACTGAGAGGTAGTTATTCTGTTATTATAGTGCATAAATCTAACCTACCCCCACAATGGTCGGTCGCCTCATCGTGGCGTGGGGGTGACACTGGGTGTCGAACTGCGATGCACAGCCGAGTGTATACTCTGGTAGGGCCTCCCAAGCTGTGAAGGAGTTCGACGTTTCCGGTTTCGGCCGGATGCCTAGCTAAGAACTGGCCGCGCCAGATTCTCCGCCGTCTGGCTTCTTCTGGTCGCTAGGCGGTCCCTCCCCGCTCCAAGCCCGGGGTCAGCGATCACCCCGTGGAAATCAAGAGTAGGCCTAGTAAGCCACCTCTTGTAGGGGAACAGATTTTATTACTCAGACAGCAAGAAGATTTAGAAAAAACCCTGTACATCGGATCCCGCCTACGGCGCCGGGTGGTAGCAAGAACGATGTCAGGGTACTCAGGGCGCCTTTCGGATTGGACAAAAACGACACGTCTGCCCGGACGACACGCCATGGAGACTGCCTCATGCTCTGCACTTACAACGCCAGGACAGTCTCCACAAACGCCGACCTCCACGCTCTTCTCGACGCTGCAGAGCACATCAACTACCACATCATTGCTCTGCAGGAAACGAAGTCCAGGAAGAAGGACGTGCGACAGATGAGTGATGGGACCCTCATCATTCGTGGTGAAAAGGTTCCATCACGAAACGTGGGAGGCGTCGGCTTTGTCGTCCACCCATCTATCGTCCATCTTGTCGATTCGCACGAGATCCTATCACCTCGACTAGGCATCCTACGACTACGACCTCCACATCAGAAGACCATCAGCATCATCAACTGCTATTCTCCAACATCAGCAGCTGACGAATCAGAACTAGATGCTTTCTACGAAGATGTGGAGGAGGTCGTCCGCAACGAGAAGTCCTTTTACAAGTTTGTTGTGGGCGACTTCAACGCGAAAATCGGGATGCCACTGGAAAGGGAATATAGGATCGGGAAGTTTGGATATGGGCTCCGGAACGAAAACGGCAACCGTCTTGTTGGGCTTCTCTCCGCCGCACGACTTTTCCATGGAAATTCCATCTTTATGAAGAAGGAACATCGCCGGTGGACATGGGAATCGCCCAACGGAACGACCCACGCGGAGATCGACCACATTCTCACCAACCGAAGGTGGAGCTTACTCGATGTCTCTGTAGTTCCATCCTTCTGTAGTGGCTCCGATCACCGCCTCCTTCGAGCGAAGATACGACTCAGCCGAAGGCTGGAAAAGAAAGTCTGTCATAGTGCCGCGAGAAGGAAGGAAGTCGTTTATGACGGTAACAGGCTGGAAGAGCTCATATCAAGTTGTGACTGGCCCATCGAGGAGGACCCAACGTACGACTACGACCGGCTTCTGAAAGGATTGCGAGCCTGCGGAGAATGCGCCTCAGTGACTTCTGAGAAGAACTTGGACCGCATCTCGAAGACCACCAAGGAATTGCTCGAAAGAAGAAGATCATTGAGGCACGATCCGAATGCAACTCATCTCGAGCGACTGATTGCCAACACCAGTTGCAGAACAGCTTTGCAAGAGGATCTCAGGAAGTACAGGCAAGCCAAGATACTGGAAGCAGCAGAAAGAAGACGAAGTCTCAAGAAGTGCCGAAGGGACCTCTGCGAATATCACGTACCGCTGGCTGCACTACTGAACGAAGACGGGACTCCGACTTCTTCCCGATACAAGATGGAATCTATCGCGAAGAACTTCTACACCAACCTCTTCCGCTCATCAACACCCGTGCAGATGCCCGTTGTTCCCACTGGAGAAGTACCACCACGAATTCTACCTGCTGAAGTGCGTATTGCGATACAGACCATGAAGACGTCCACGGCTCCAGGACCAGATCATCTTTCCGTCGAACTTCTGCGAGCCGGAGGACACCGTCTACACGAGATTCTAGCGTCGCATTTAACATCTTACCTTCAGAAGGAGAAGATTCCCGACCAGTGGAGAACGTCAAGAACCGTCCTTCTCTTCAAAAAGGGTGAACGGGAGGATCTTCGGAACTATCGTCCAATATGCTTGCTGAGTGTGCTGTACAAGCTTTTCACGAAGATTATCCTCGCTCGCATATCAAGGACACTGGATGAAGCCCAACCCCAAGAACAAGCTGGATTTCGCAAAGGATTCAGCTGCATGGACCACATCCAGACCGTTTCGAGGGTCATAGAAGTCTGCCGGGAGTACCGACTGCCTCTCGTCCTAACCTTTGTCGACTACGAGAAAGCCTTCGACAGCGTCGAAACCAACGCCATCCTGTCTGCGCTAGTCGATCAAGGAGTGGACCCAGCTTACGTGAGGACGTTAGCCGACTGCTACAAGGACTGTACAACGACGATGCAGCTATTCCATCGCCCCCTGACCATACCAATCGGGAAGGGGGTCCGACAAGGCGACACAATCTCGCCGAAGCTGTTCACCGCGGCCTTGCAGTGGGTGATGAAGTCACTGGACTGGGACGAGAGAGGCATACGAGTTGATGGGAGATTCCTGTCCAATCTTCGTTTTGCGGACGACATCGTTCTCTTCTCGAGCAGTATCACCGAAGCAGAGACGATGCTGAAGGAACTAAACGAAGTAGGGAAGAAGATCGGACTGCGAATAAATCGGAAGAAGACTCAGTTCATGAAGAACGCCCTTTGCGAAGATGCAGAAATGGAATTGGAAGGCACCCCGATTATGGAGACGTCTTCCTACGTGTATCTCGGACGTTCGATGAACATGGAGAACGACTTGAGGGAAGAACTCAACAGGGGAAGAAGAGCAGCCTGGGCCGCCTTCGGGCCCCTGAAGGAAGCCACCGACCAACTGACGGACCCGGAGCTTCGTGCCCACCTGTTCGACTCAACCGTTCTCCCGGCGCTCTGTTACGCAGCTGAGACTTGGGCCGACACTGTAGCCACGTCGAAAGCTCTACGGACCACCCACAGAGCGCTCGAGCGCAGTCTTCTGAAGATGACCCGACGCAAGCAACATCTAGTCGGACTTCGCAGCACGGATATGAGAAGAATGTCCCGTCTTCGTGACCCAGCGGAATACGTCGCGAAAGCCAAACACCGATGGGCCGGTCACATAATGAGAAGAACAGACGACAGATGGACACTAAGAACATCGGAGTGGATTCCTCGCGAAGCCAAACGTCCCCGAGGAAGACCTCCAACGAGATGGGCAGACGTGTTCGTGGAACGGATGGACCAGCTGAGAAATCAGCTGGATACGATTTTTGCACCTGGAACTCGTGGACGCAGCCACCGACGTCGGCCAAGAAGATCGTGGATGTCAGAAGCGAGGGACAGGGAAAAATGGAAACTTCTGAGCTGGGGCCCGCACGTCACGTGAAGCCGGGCCATCTAAGTATCTAAGTATCTAAGTAAATCTAACCTATGGCAATTACGCATCAATGCACATATATGCTGTATCAATGAGAGTGTCATAGCTTCAGCAGTTTGAGTCTTCACGGCGCCTCGCTCTCCTTCCGGCTTATACCGCTGGGCTAAAGCGTTTGAAGGCACCAAAAGTATATGTTCGCAAGCGCCGCAAGATGCGAACAAGGCATTCGCGAAGATCCGAACCCCTACAGCGTGGCACTCATAATGAGGCAGCCTAAATGCTGTTACGGTAATAGGGTAAGGAAAGTATGGTTGCTCAGAGTAGATTTAACAGCGCAAGTTATATGACAACAAAGGAGAAGCAGAGATTTGTTTCTTCTATTCAACGTTAGCGTTCTTCGTATGTTTTTGTATAGAAAGCTCTGATTGTCGTGTGTGGGTCATATGTGTGTGGAAGAGGAGTTTTATCAAACAGACCAGGGCCGAACCCTGCACACATACATTTTGAAACGGATCGAATGTTGTAGCCTATCTCCTTATCAACCGATATCTTCTACTGCTTTTTAGCATAACTCTTTGGTAAGGATTGGCATAGGGGAATAAATGACGTGATCCCGTTGCTTTCATTGGTTTTACTCGTATATGACAATGGTGCACACAAACAGCGCCATGAATTTCCGAAAGACATAGCACTCAATTCGCGAGCGCTATGACCAGATGTGCGATGACTGGAGTCGCCCCCCCCCCCAAAAAAAATAATGGTGGTCCCAGCTACCATTAAACGCCAAAAGTGAAGTTGGTAGTGCCGGACACTCACCTTCCAAAAACGTCTACCGGGGGGGGGGGGAGCGTAAAACGGTCGAACTGAGCCTATCCTTCCAGTGTTACCGCCACTGGGCCATTCCGCGCGGCCGAACCACCCCAAAGTGGTCCCGCGCGGAATGGCGCTTAGGTGAACTGCAATTTCATTTGTAACCTCGCTTAATTCCTTATCCTCCCTAATCCTTGTCTCCCTTTTGCTTCATTTTTTGATTTTTTTAAGAGCTGGGAGTTGGCACTGGAAGGGAGGGGGAAGGTAAGTAAGCATGCTGATCACCAAAATAATATTCATATGTGGATTACATTCAAAGATTTTTTTCTTGCATTTATCGATTTTGTAGATTTTTTTTCTTGATTCTGAGCTACGGGGCTGGGAGCTGGCATTGGGGAGTTACTGAGCATGCTAATCACAAGTCTTCCACTTTTCAAGGCGGTCATCGGAGCATTGGCCAGCATGGCTGTTGGCCTCATCATCTTGTTCGCCTTTGGTTGGCGCCTGTAGGCATTACTAAAAGTCCGAAAAAGGTCTGTCCGCTCTTCATGAAGCGTGTGCAGGAGTCGCGTTTGACAAAATTGTGAAGATGGAGTGAGTAAAAATTTTTTTGAGATTGTGTTTCATGATCTCTTGGTCCATTTCGAGCATAACTGGTTATCATTCACAGATAGAAAATTTGTAATCCAATTTATTCTAGTTTTGAGCCATGTTATCTCCTGAAAGCGTCGAGATCATTTTGAACTGGGCTGATTGTACCGTCCCTCAAATCATGTGAGTTCATCATCCAGTTGTGTATTTGGTTATATATGAATGAAAATTATTCAGATATGGCAAAGTCGGATTCGTTGCAACATGCGCGGTGAGTTGTTGGCTGGCAGTCACCTATCGGGAGCACCTCAAAGATCATCACATGCTAAGACGGCTCTGATTCTCGGCCCTCTCTACGATTTTAGAGAGTAAATCTCCATTGACTTCGGATAGTTGAAGAGCTCTAACCCAACGGCCCTCTTTAGGGCTACAAATACGATGAGTGCAACGGCATAAATGTTTGAAATAAAAGTGTTTATCAAATGGTGTATTTGTAAGTAAAAACTCAGCTAGACTTTTAAATGATGTTATAACGTGCTGCGGAGAAAGTAAATCGATCCAGGCAGTAACCGCGAACAACCGAATTTCGAACGATAAAATAACGAAAAATCATGCGAAATTTCCAGTGTTATAATTCTGGTGGTTGAAGATGTCAGCAACTGCGAACAGTGGCCGACGACAACGAGAATTTTAGAAAATTAAGATTTTAAGTTGCTTAGTGACAGCTGACGTTTAGACTTGCATAAATCTGGAATGTGAGTGTGCAATGTATCGACTTCATAGTTTTGTAAAGTAGTTGGCACTATCAAATTATGTTCCAGCTGTACCGATCCAATGAAACATCTCCGAGATCCAGGCTCTTGAAAAAACAGGTAAAAAACCGCGTTCTAGAGTTCAGCACCTCATAACTTCATTAGAATTGCATGAATCATGTTGCGACTTCATAGGTTGGATTCTCCTCTGCAAGAGCTTCCACATGATGTATCATGTGTGGAAGATTCAGTGAGTTTTGCGGCTCTAACCCGGGGTGAAGATTTTTCATCCGAAAGTCTTCACCTCGTTCACATCAATGTATTGGCTGGAGGCCGAGCATTCTTCTCAACAATCGACTTGGTTTGACTCTTGGATGTCAGCTAACACTACACGATGGTTACGATGTTCTGCTTCCACATCTTGTACGATCTTCGTTTTCAAGGCCACCAATAGTCGCTCGATGATTGAGACAGTACTGCGTATCAAGACTGGCTGAATGATATCGTGGACTTTGTGATGAAAAACCTCCACCCTTGGGCACATACCCTGAGAGGCGCGAAACCCCACATATGGTATATCTCCTGAAAGCTCTTGAAGAGGAGAATCCAACTTATGAAGTCGCAACGCGATTCATGCAATTCTGAAGAAGTTATGAGCTGTTGAAGTTCAAAAAGCAGTTTTTCACCTTTTTTTAAGAGCCTAGATCTTGGCGATGTTTCATTGGTTCTCGTCCTCGCCGGCCACTGCTCAAATCGATCTGATTCTTTTACTGTCTGGTAGAGCAACACTTACCCTTTAGAACCTTTAAAGTCGCATTTGCTGACATGTTCAACCACCAGATTTATAAAAGCGGAAATTTCGCATAATTTCGCTATATTATTAATCGAAATTCTGGTTCTCGGTGGTTACTGCCTGGATTAGTTGTTAATAAAATCATATCTGCATCTGTAAATGAGATAATATGTGTTTAAATATGGTGCCATGTGGTAGAGAACATATATTCTCATTTTCTAACTAGTCCAGACGAAATTCACACACACGTATATACACATTTTGAAGAGACCGTTTATTTTTATAACCACACAAATCGATGCTGAAAGAAGTTTCCAGATGGATGACTGGTAGTTACACGTTTTCGAAAGAAGAGCTGACAGTGCTGCTGGATTTCTGTAAATGCCCTTCCAACAGACTTAGTTTGCTTACGCTTCAAGCCGCATTGCCTCACCTACCGCGAGCACTCACGAAAGACATCACCGCTAAGGCATCTACGCCTCAGCATTCCGTACGACGTCGAGGAGACAAAGCTTATTAACACGTTGGCGACGAGCCATTTTTTGTGGTCTGTCCCTGAGGACGAGACGTTTCCGTGCACCCCTTCGCCTGCCCGCATGCATGTATGCATGCATCTATGCAGGAAATATAAATGTGGCAAGCCCCGCCCCATGTGGCAAGCTCCGCCCACTCGGCCAAAAATGTCGAAAATTGCCCAAATTTTGAGAATTCATACGAATTCCGCCACTTTTGAAAAGTGGGCGGAGCTTGCCACTTAGGGGGCGGAGTTTGCGTGACGGGACTAATATATGAAGTACATCTGAGCCTATGTTGATTTTATAAACAAAAACTGAGAGATTGGACAGATAGTATTGAAATTAAGGCCGCCGCTCATTATTGCGCGGCGTCGTCCACAGGACAGACTGCCTGCCGCGCACCATTGCGCGGCACTGTCGTCAACGTGTTAATGATTTTGCTTCCAAGATCTCTAACTCAGTTCTTGATGTCCAACAGCTTCATCCTAGCGCGTTTTTTTGAGGCCACGAGTACGATGAATACAAGCACATAAATACTTCAGAAAGTGTTTACTAAGTTGTTTGTACGGAAGTAATCCAGGTCCACACGATTTCATTAAGTAAATTTTCTTATGACGAACTGTGAAGAAAGTAGGTCGATTTAGTTGTAATCGTAGAGAACTAGTTTGAATGATAAAATTGCGAAAAATTGTGTGAGATTGCAACCTTCACTGGATTTGGTTTATAGGGGCGTCAGAAACTGCGTTTTCAAAGGTTTTGAAGAGCAAGTGTTGATCTATTAGAAAGTGAAAAAAGCAGGTTGATCTGAGAGTTCATCGCCGAGAATCAGAAAACGGATGTCCGCCCTCCTTGATTGCTTAAAGGCAGCTGATATTTTAACTCCTATAAATCTTGAGTGTGAAGGAGTGTGATGCTGCTACTTTCTACTTTTTGAAGGCTTGTCTCTCGGCAATGACTCCATATGTCGCTACGGCTAAGGAATATTTGATGGAACAATCCTTGTTCTACGTCTATGAAGAGTCCTCTGCGTTCGGGTTGATCAAGAGGCTGCAGCTATTCTTCCTCCTTTCATGCTTCAGAGTTTGTGGTCCTTGAAATAATCGTCGAAGTTTCAAGCAGGCAGGCACTCACCATTCAAATCCATATTCGGTAAATTGGAGGTGCACTAACAATTATTCCGTTAAGACATAGTAAAGATCTATGAACTTCTCAGCATAAAGCAAGCAGGTTGCTTTGCTCAAGTTTCACTCAATTAAAACATTGCATTTAGCAGGTACAATCAAAATAAATGGTCTGACCAGTTGAGAGAGAATTTTGCCTACACAGCTTTGTCTGGTAGAATTTCAGCTCCGCATTTTTGTTTTTTCAATCACCCATTTCCCCACTGAGTAATGAAGTCTAACGAAACATAAGATCAAAGTTTCAAACAAGTTTTGTTATCCGTTTGTTAACGAGAGGTTCGCTTCATCTCCGTGACAACCTACAAGATTCTCTAGCACGTTTGAAGCGTAGCAACGACAGCGTAGCTAGGCTTCACTTCTATGCAAGCAAAACATCATATTTGTTCATTGCATTTTTTTTGCTTATGATTTTTGCGTTTCTTTTTGCACATAAGAAATGACTGATTTTAAATCTCTATAAAAAAGGGAGTAAGCCTATGAGCTTTGAAGATCGATGCTCAAAATATCATACAATGCATGCGAAGCAGCTTCTGTGGTTTAAGGATTGCTGCCAAGTGTTTTTACTACTTTGTAAAGTTGGGTTTCTATTTGATTTCAATTGTATTAGTCGGTAAGAATGCTTCTGAAACTCAGCATATAATTAGACTAAATAAAATAAGCGCTTTTGTGAATCGAGTTGTTCGCTGCTGAAGCTTTCAAATTTGAATTAAAACTGCAATGATACATATATCAGCTTGTCCAAAGCTTTTAGGATCGGCCATACTTTGCGCGATTCCTTCTGATCGCGGTTGCAGCGCGGCTTTCTAAACGTCTGCTATGCTATATCAACGTTCAGATTTTGAATGCACACTTGCATAGTTTTTTAAGCTGTTGCAAGCATTTTGAATTCTACTCATATAAAGTGTACTCACGAAAAAATTATGGACAATCTAATCTAGGATAAATCACGCAGCTACCGAAGCGCGAGCCACGACCACTGCCTTTGTAAGCTGCATTGCACTACATAGTACGGTAAGTATACGGTAGGCAAGTTGGCTCTCCGTCCAAAGTTGCATAATCGGGGATTGGTGCACCGACACTGATGTCGTTCTCTTGTGCAGAAGGATTCCTAAATAAAGACCACTAGATTATGTTAGGTCCAGTATTATATTAGGTTGTCCCGAAAGTTTTGTCCGTTTTTTCAACCTAACATAAAAATACGTGGAACAAAGTTAGGGAAACGCTTTAAGCACTATCCGACGCATCTTTTCCTTCTCTTTCTAACTGTCATGCTTACATGCCGATTAATCTTTTGTTCACTGAGATAAACGCCGAAATTTCGAACCCATGGTTTTTACTATGTCCAAGTTTGGCAATTTTTACAATCTTCATTTTCAACTTTTGAAAGTCCTTTGATAGCGCTCAGATAGAGTAAAAAAAGGGCAATGCAATGCAATTTTTTGGCTTGTCCAGCTGGCATTTCAGTATTTTTTAAGATAATTTTTCCAAAAGTCTTCACTTTTGGAAAGTCCCAAAATACAGAAACGCCTCGAACACTAACAAATCATCGGATTTTGAAGCTTTCAAAAACCGATTACGATTATTCACTATTTTTACGAAGCAAATGAGCGTTTACCGCTTCGAAATATAAGATTTTGCATTTTACGTGTACACGCTGGGGTGGGGTCAAATTCAAGAATTATGAAAATTTTGAAGCCAAAGATCCCGCAAATTGGAGAGAAAATAGACTCGCTGGAAAGAGGAGGAAAAGCTGCATCGAATAACACCTTGATTGTGCGCCGTTTTATGATCTCTGGCTTTTGGCATCAAAAAGTGGAATTTGATAGCATCAGAAAAATAATTCTAAAAAATTTTCAAGGCTGGCTATAGATGCCGCAAAATTGCATTATATTGCCCTTTGTTTGCTCTATCTAACTGTTGCCAAAGCTTTTCCGAAAGTCAAAAATAAAGATTGTGAAAAATTGCCAAACTTGGACATAGTGAAAACCATGGGTTCGAAATTTCGGCGTTTATCTCAGTGAACAAAAGAT